TCGTGTTATGCTGAAGTTACTGGGAGGTTGTGGGCAAGGAGGAGGTCTACACTGCAGAGGTGTTTAAGGGCTGTCATGGTGAAAAAGGTTAGTATTTGGTCTGTAAGGTCAGTACCTGAATATGTATTTGGAAGTTACATAGAAAGAATTTTCCATTCAAGATAAGGGCTTTTCAATCAGCCAGTGCTAAAGCAAGATAGTGATTTCCCAGCCACTGAAGTCATCAAAGCAGTGGCTGGATGGGTGTGTGGTGAGGATGTCAATCAGAAGGACACATTTTGGAGTTAGGTGCTTCAGTGACCTAGTAAAGTTTATATTGTCTTTAAGAGTTATTTCAATGAGCCAGAAATATGAATAGAATTGGCAAAAAAAATTAAAATGCAATGTTTAGAATTAATTCATATGCATAATAATCAAAGTTGGAGCCTCTTACTATTTCTGCAAATGCAAAATGTGTTGAGAGAATTTTACAATATCTATACAATCAGTGAAATGTAAGTACACTTTTTCACATATGTTTTATTTATTAATATATCACTTTTGATAAGGTTATTTCCTTGTGTATAGTTTCTGATCTGTTATATTCTTAGTGCAGTCAGATGCCCATCTGGGGAGAGTCAGATTAAGTGTGCACTGAAATGTAATGTAAATCCTCAGTTATAAATTAAAGCTTTTCATAATTTACTATTTATTCAGATAAGAAACAATTAATCGTTATCTCTCTTAACTCTACCCCAGCCCTTTCCGAACACAGCCATGTCTTGTTAGCATGAAATTGTCACACATATTATTTAATTTAAATCTCCCAGAAGCTCATTTTGCATGTTATAATCATCTTATTTCTCAGATGAAGGAACTATTACTCAACTGACGAATTTAATCTAATACAACCAAGTTAAATAGTTAAAACTAGGACTGGAAAATTTTCAAATTCTAATGTTAATCTAATTAATGCTTGAAACTTAAAAAGTGAAATAACATTTGCCTGTTGCATACCCTCATGGAAATGATAAGACAAAATATATACAAAACAGACAACAGAATGCCTCAAGCAGACAGTCCACATGAGATTTCATTTGCTACTATATTGGTATATGTAGTTATGATTAGCTACTTGTTAGGTATTAACAGAATGGTTTGGGAAAACCTGTTCACGAACGAATAAGAAATTAGAATCTTTGAAGTGGAGAAGAGAATTGAAAAGGGAATTACAGGAATTACAGATTTTAAATGGATCTTATAAATGTGTGGCCAACGATTCTAATTTTTCAGATGAAAAAATTGAAGACCAGAACATAAAAAGAGATTTTAAAAACAGAAAAGGGCACAGCAGCTTCATCTCATTGAAGTATCAGCCATCTAGCCTTAGGTACAACGTAGACCTATTACCTCAGAAAAAGAACCCATAAAAGATATCTACAAGGGATTTTACATGATCAGTTGTTCTAGGATGGTAAAATCTAATGAAAAGAACATTCAAAATTGGGAGACTCCGGAGATCACCAAATACCAGAAAAAACAGATCAACTTACATCTCTCACTCGGGGCAGGTCACCAAGGTCAACTACCAAAGTGCAAGAAAATTTATTATAGAAAAGGCTAGAAAATATGTAAGATTTCAGTGTCTATAGACAGCAGAATAATAGAAAGGAGTTCTAGTTAAAGTATGAGTCAGCACTTCAGCACATTTTTACCTGGGAATATGAAGCTGGATGCATTGAACAGAACAGAAATTAATGAGGATGAATAGAATTTTATGACTCGAAGGAAACAAGAGTTTTTCTTATCCATTTTTATCCCTTCATTTTATGAAATTGTAAATTCTTGGATTTTTATATGATGACAGAAATAGAACAAACATCCTATTGGAAAATAAGAGTATTCTAAGGAATAATAAGACAACTACTAAGGAATTTATATGCAAAAATATTCATTGAATCACTATCCATATAAGAAAGAAATGTTGACCATCTAAATTACTCACACTAAGCAACTAGCTAAACATACCATGGTCCCAATGATTGTGCAAAGGAAACTCTGAGAAGTGTTGGATGTCTGTTATTTTGATTGTTATGATGGTGTCATGGCTGTTTGCATAGGTCCAAACTCATCAAATTGTGCACATTAAATATGTGCAGTTCTTCATCCATCAGTTATACTTCAAAATAGATGTTTTTTTAAAAATATATAGATTTCTAGTAATTGACATGGAAGCATGATTATTATCGAAAAAGAAAAAGAAGAAAAAGTTTGTTACAAGACAGTATTTAGTATGATTTATTTCAGATACATATGAATGTAATTTAACTTTGAAACAGTCTGGTGATACAGTCACCAAAATGTCACTATATCTCTAACAGATTTGATTACAGGTTATAATTTCCTTTCTTGCATTTTCTAGTTCTTTGTGCTAGAAAATGTGTTTTTTGTAATAGGAAACACTTCAAATATAAAAGGAAATTGGAAGGCAAACCCTTTAATCTTGGAGAGGAAGTAGGAGGGCAGGTGGGAAAAGGAAATGCGGGGAGTGGCCGTCACTTATTTATTAAGGAGGAGCTCAGTGAAACTGACACAAAGAAGCATTAAGATCAGAATTTTAAAATGGGTAGTTTTCATCCGAAATGGGAAAATCTATGCAAAAGAACCATTTCTCAGATACTGGGATAAAGAACAAAATGGATAATCTTGATGTACAATATTATGGTCTCAACTGATCAAGTGAATGAAGTAAGCTGAATTACCCCTATTTTATCTTCCTGTCTATAATGTATACCTGAGTTCATCACATTGTATAATGTCCTCTTAAGTAACCAGTTACATATGTGAAGTATATATTGCATACTTCTAAAACTTAAAGGAGTTAGGGCATAACCTACAGAGAAGATACCCATTATTACCTTTCGACATGTCATCTAAAGTGATTAGTTGGAACTGTGAGTCATTGTCCCTTTCAGGTACACTGGTCTGTTTCCAAATATCTATATATGTGAGGAAACAACTTTCCAAATTAGAGAAATACTGGGAAAAAAAATCAACCTTTATCTCTCACTCAGGGCAGGTCACCGGTGTCAACTGCCAAAGTGAAAGAAAATTTGTTCTAGAAAAGCCTAGAAAATATGTAAAAAGAATTCCTCCCTGGTGACTGTAACCTACAGAATAGAAGGGAGTTCTAGTTAAGAAGGAGTCTGCATTTTAGCACATTTTTCACTGGGAAAATGAAGCTGGATGCATTGAACAGAACAGAAATTACCTTTAATGAGAATGAACCGAATTTTATGACTAAAAGGAAACAGTTTTTCTTACCCAGTTTTATCCTTCATTTTATGGAAGAAGTTGTGTCTGAATGGTATTCTGACTTTCTCAAGGATGCAAAATAATGACTTTCAGATCAAGGACTATATCTCATGACTCATTTCCCAGTTTAAGGCACTCTCCACAATACAGTCTCGACAGATATTTAGAAAACTACCTCCTAAGCTGATTTTCCTTTTCTTGTTTCTTAAGGGAGACCCCACCCGTCATGCACCTGTGGCCATGGGAAATTGGAGTACAGTGACGGAATTCACTCTGATTGCCTTTCCAACTCTCCTGGAGCTGCGAATATTCCTTTTTGTAGTTCTCTTGTTGACTTACACATTAACAGCAACAGGAAACATTATCATCCTCTTCCTAATATGGACTGATTATCGCCTACAAACCCCAATGTACTTTTTCCTCAGTAATCTGTCCTGTCTGGATATTTTATACACCACTGTTGTTACTCCAAAGCTGTTAGCCTGCCTCTTAGGGGAGAAGAAAGACATATCCTTTGCTGGCTGTATCACTCAAACATATTTGTACTTCTTTCTGGGGACAGTGGAGTTTATCCTCCTGGCCGTAATGTCCTTTGACCGCTATGTGGCCATCTGTAACCCCCTGCGCTACACCGTCGTCATGAACAGCAGGTTCTGTCTCCTGCTGGTTCTGAGCTGCTGGGTGGGGGCCTTCCTGTCCGTGTTGGTACCAACCATTGTAGTGACAAGGCTGCCTTATTGTAGAAAAGAGATTAATCATTTTTTCTGTGACATTGCCCCTCTTCTACAGGTGGCCTGTATAGATACTCGCCTCATAGAGAAGATAAACTTTCTCCTATCTGCCCTTGTCATCCTGAGCTCCCTGGCATTCACTACTGGGTCCTACACCTCCATTATTTCTACTATCCTGCGCATCCCATCAGCCCAAGGACGTCAGAAGGCCTTCTCCACCTGTGCTTCTCACATCACTGTCGTGTCCATTGCCTATGGGAGTAACATCTTTGTGTATGTGAGGCCCAATCAGAACTATTCCCTGGACTTTGACAAGGTAGCTGCTGTCCTCATTACCGTAGTGACTCCTCTTCTGAACCCTTTTATTTATAGTTTGAGGAATGAAAAGGTGAAGCAAGTGTTGAGAGAGACAGTGAACAGCATCACATCCTCGATACTAAGGAAAACGTGGCAATAGTGTTTAGTACATCACACAACATTTCTTATCTCCCACACATTCAGTCTGTGTGACTATAGCGCCATGCTGACATTCCAGACACCTGAGGAATGACAGGATGAGCAAGGAGCATACCAAACTGAAGGAAAACTGTACTTAGGTCTGCAGAGAAAAACTAATCCATGAACTATGTTGGATGTTCATAACTTTCAAAAGCATGAACTAGTACCTCACTGGGATTCAGAGGTCTCCAAACCTAGTCTTGGCTAAATTGGTTTATCTTCCAGGTGATTTTGACATGTCACAATGTATCTGAGCCCCACTGTCTCCATCTCCAAATGAAATTGTAGATAATAAAGAATCAGTAGTTGTGGTGAGACATGTAGGTTAGAGAATTTTAGCTTCTTGTTAGGCACTCTTGAATATTTCAGGAGACTCGGTTTTCACTTCTATTACATCAGGGAAATATGACATAAGGAGTGAGGGAAAAAGAGGTAAGACTCAGGAGATATCAAGTCTCCGCCTGCTCACCCGAGTGGGTGCTCACCTCAGCGGCACATGTAATAAGATTGGAATGACACGGTGATCAGTGAGGCCCCGACACAAGGGTGACATGCAGGTTCAAGAAGCGTTCCATATTTTGGGGTGACAGGTGGCAACTAGACTTATTGTGGGGATCATTTTTAGATTATAAAAGTATTGAATCACTCTAATGTACACCTGAAACTAATAGGATGTTATACATCAATTATTGTTCAAGAAAAAAAAAAACCTGAGTGAAAGGTGGATATATTCAATGAGAAACAGAACACAAGACACACAGAAGGGCAGGTCATTGAATCGGACACTCCTGTGGGATACCCAATTACCAACTGTCAGTTGGGTTATTATACGAAAGTTAGACAAGAGATAATGGGCTAGAAATGTGGTCTAAGCAATCATCAAATATATTAACGGTTCTTAAAGCCACAGAAGTGGCTGAGAGCACCAGGGGGGTAATGAATGAAGACAGCTCACAAGTTAGATTAAGAATGGGTGGCAAGAGAGAAAAAACACAGGAAAGTATGATAGCATGAAATAGGATGAAAGACAAAGGGGAAATGTTTCGTATAGCATGATCAAGACATAAAAGCATCTTATATATTTGGTACATGAATGATTTTGGCAATAAGTTTAATAGGGTTTGGAGGGTAAAAGCCAAAATAGAGTGGGCAGAATGGTGCATAGATATAAAGAACTGGAGAATATAAATACAGACACCACTTTCAAGAACTATGGCTGAGAATATGAATACTATCGTAACATGAAGGAAACATGGGTTAAAAAATGGTGTTTTCTAACAGGAGATGTATTTATTTGCTTTTTAAAATGTTGATTGGAGGAATACAATAGTACAGGCTACAGGAGAGCAGGTCATGACCAATACGATGGGTTACCTGAGATGGACAGAGGCGAGGACACTGGGGACATCAGGATAGATGTCAGCAGAAGTTTGTATTACACACTTATAAATAGGAATGGATGAATTCGGAAGTAGAACCATGCCAGGTAACAAGGTGGATATTGTCACAGTCCCTCCTGATAGAAAGCCCAATGCCCTCCTTAACAAGTTAGCACCTAACTTCAGGTAGAAAATGACCACAGAAATGTATAAATTTGATAATGTGTGCAGAGTAGAGCAAATGAACTAAATCCCTCCTTGAGTAATACAATGTGTTAATGCTGGGGGGAGTTCCACTCAGAAATGCAGGGAAGTCAGAGTACAAGGTGAGGAAGGAATTCATTAAAGCGAGTGTCAGGGAATGACAGAACAGAATAATAAAGGAGGTTCGTTGAACTGCTACTCAGCATGGGGCACTTCCCCTGCTAACTCCTTAAGCCAGTGTCACCTGGCGTTCAGTGTCTACTTGAGTATGCATGGCATGGGAACTGAGTCCCTACCACCCCAGAATTTGGGGGAGCCCCAGAGCACTGGATGGGGTGAGATGATGTTCTGCAAACTTCCTGTAGGTGAAGAAAGGAGACTTTCAGGCAGGCTACTAAAGAGCATGACAGTAAGCTGCAGCTCCCTGTCACCTAGGAGACAGTAATTTGCAAGCCCAGGTCTGAGCTCTCAGCAGCCCCTCCCTTCTTGTCTGAGAAAGGACTGGGAGAGTGAAGGTTTGAGCTGAAATCCAGAGGATCAGAATGACAAAGCAAAGTAACAAAGACACTTACCACTGGAAAAGTGCAGAAAGAAAATGTTTAAGTTGAGCAGTGAGAAGTTTATTTAAGACAAAAAGGAGCACACTCAGAGAAAGGGAAGTGTGGGCTACCCCAGAGAAGAGGCACCCTTGAAAGATTGGGAAAAAAGTCAAAAACGCACTTACAAAGTGCTGGCGACTTCAGAGAGAGGAACACCCCAAAAGGCTTAAGTTTTATTGAAAGAGAGAAAGTCTACCCACTTAGAAAGTGTGGGCAACCTCAGAGACAGGTGCATACTGAAAGGTAAGGGGTTCCCCCTTTTAAGGATTTTTCAGGAATGTGACCAAGGGCTGGGGGGTGCAGACTTGTTAAGTGATCTCTGAATATTTAAAATTAACTTAACACAAGACATTTACTGCTCTGATCTCTCCCAGAGATACTGGAGTCTTGGTCTGGGAGCAGAGCAAACAGACAATAGCTCAGTCCATCAAAGAGTAAATTAAGAATCTTACTTCTTAACTTCCTGGATTTTAATTTGCAATCTTATCTTTAAGATGGAATCTTTCCTGCCTTTTACTACGTTGTTTACGGCTGGGCCTGCATGCTTAACACAATAAAGACAAGGACTATGCTGAGGTCCCCTCCTTTATCTGGGGAATATTCAAACATTCCTGGCCAAATTACTCCTGGCTTTTTGAGCTTTAACTGATGAACTCTTTCAGTCCCTTGTAGTGGGCTTTACTGGCCTTAATTCCCTCTCCACCCAGCTCATATCTATTTTCCTGCCTAACATTAAGGTACATAGCTCAAAGGAAATTACTCTTTCATTCATCCATTAACTAAATATTGCTTGAGTGCCAGAAAGAACAGAACAGACAAATCTCTGCCCCAGTGGGTTGAGATGACAGAAGGGGAAGACACGCAGTAAGTAAAATATAGAGAGAGATTAGAAGAGAAGCTACACAGTGACAAACGTTGTGAAGAAAAATTAACCAGGGAAGGGAGTTTGAGGGCGGAGTTTCAGTTGTAAATAAGGTGGTTCAGAAAGCCTTCTCTGAGAAGGTGAGCTGGAATAAAGATTTGAAGGATAGGACAGTGGGAACCTTGTGGATATTTGGAAGAAGAGGATTATATGAAAATACAACAAAGCCCCCAGGTTGTGGTAAGAGTGAGGGGGGCAAACACGGTAGCCGTCAGCCACTGAGAGCAGAGATCATCCGGGAACTTGTGCATCAGGTGCCCGTGCAAGTGCCCGGCGGGGAGCCCCATCGTCAGCACAGTGCCCTAGAACGAACCACCAAACCAACCAGCCAGAGTTTAGGCAGGAAAATAGATATGAGCAGGGTGGAACGAAAATAAGGCCAGTAAGCCCTCTAGGAGGGACTCAAAGGGTTAACCAGTTAAAAATAAAAAGCTCCAAGGCCAGGAGCAACTTGGCCTAGAAGTTCAAATACTCCCCAGATAAGGAAAAGTATCTCAGCATAGCCTGTGCTTTATTGTGTCAATTAGATCATGCCATTGTGAGATTTACTTGAGCCTGCTGAAAGGCCCAGCTTGTTCAGGAGGAATTCTATCTTAAAGCTAAGTTAGCATTTTAATCAAACAGACAGTGGCTCAGCCCACCCTGGAGGCAGGGCAGACAGTCTTGATATGCTTCCAGACAGAAGCTGATATCCTGGAAAGGAATCAAAGCAGTGCATTTCTTCTGTTAAGTTAAAAAAAAAAAGAAAGTTAGTGTCTTATCAAAGATGAACATTCTGGGACAATTTGGCCAGTCCGCACCTGGGCCTGTGTCGCTTTCCTGAAAATCCTCAACCACCTATAACACCCCAGACCCTAAACCTTTCAATGCGCCTCTCTCTCTGAGATCGCCCGCACTTTCTAAGTGTGTAGCCTCAAAAATTTATCTTGACCTTTCAGTGCGCATCTTCTATGAGGTCGCTCACACCCCCCTTTCTCCAAGTGTGACTTGCTCTCTTTAAATAAAGCTTCAACCTTTCAGGGTGCCTCTCTTCCCTGAGGTCGTCCGCACTTTTCTCTCTCTTTAAGTAACTTTAAATAAAACTTTTACTCTTCTTCATGACTGTGTCTCTGCCCTTCAGTTCTTGTTGAACCAAGGAATATACACAACGCTGCCCCCCAACAAGAGGACTAAACTAATCCCATGTCACTAAGGAAATGGTAACATAAAAGCAATATGTATTGATTACATGTAAGTAAAACCACACATGATTTACCCAGGGGTTATTTTTTACTTCATCCAATGAATTCCTTTCATGACAAGTTTAAAGTTAGAGACTCTTTATATTTTTTTTTTGAAAGGGAACCTCTGAAATCGGGACAAACTAAATGATTGTGTTGCTTAGTACTCTGATTCTCAAAAGTTGGTTCCCAAACCAGCAACATTAACATCATTTGGGAACATATTAGACATGAAAATTCCTGAGCACCACCCCAGGCCTACTGCATCTGAGATATCGCGGGGCGGGGGATGAAGCCCAGCAATCTGTGTTTCAATAAGCTTTCCAGATGACCCTGAAGTGGGCCAACATTTGAGAACCATGGACTTAAGGAAACTCAGGCAGGTCACCTGTTGAGACAGGGACTGTGGGATCAGCCAGAGTAAGGGGAGGGCCTCCGGAGAAAAAGCAGAGCAAGATAATTACAGTCAGAACAATGTAGCAATGTGCAAAAAAGTCCCTATTGAAACTCTGTGATAAGCATTATGCAAAGTCAGAGTCACACTAATTCTCTAGGGTAAAGATACCAGACTAGGAATATAGACATCTTCAATGAGATCATTTAAAACTCAAAAGGCCAGCAACAACTTGGCCTGGAATGTCTGAGTGTTCTGTAGATAAAGAAAAGTGTCTCAGCATAACCCGTGACTTCACTGTATCAATTTAAATTATGACACTGTAAAATTTACCTTAGCCTGCTAAACGGCCCAGCTTATTTTAACGTACCTATGTGCTATATTTCCTTCTCTGATCCTAACCAAGTAATCTGCAACCTAGGAAAAAGACTATAATTTAGTAAGCAAGCCCAACTATAAACAGCCCAAAAAGTTAAAAAGTAAGATTCTTAACTTACTTCAGCAAACAGGCAACAACCCAGCCCACCTTAGGGGCAGGGTAGGCGGTCTTAATTGACATGCTCCCAGAGGGGAAACTGCTATCTTGAGAAAGAATCAAAGCAGAACATTTCTTCTATTACTCATCAAAAATGAGCATTCTGGGACCACTCAATAAGTCTGCACCCCTAACCCTTTACTCTCATTTCTGAAAATCCTCAACCACGTATAAAACCCCTAGACAATGAGCCAACCACAGACTCTCTTGTCCCCTCCTGGCGTGAGCCAGGAGCCCTGTCCTCTCACTTTATCTCTAAATAAAAGCCTGTACCTTGCTCTCCTACCTGGAGTGTTTGTGAAGCTCATTCTTCGGCTTCGTGAACAAG